CTTGTTTTATGAAACCGAAATTGAAAACAGGTAAATATGTTCAGTCAGAGGCGATGGTTACGACGGAGAGTGGGACAGTTATGTCACTTGCCAGGAGAACACCAGGAATCGGCGTCACGATATAATCACAGTCGAGCATGGGAAAGGGTGTTGCCAATTCAACAAATGTGAGAGCTTTAGGTGGTATCCGGAAGAAGTCAGTGGTGCACAGGCTGTTCGGGAGTTCAGGGTGAGAATCCAGGAGAAGAGGAAGTTCTAGGCAGAGAGCACCGGCGCCACAATCGATCAGGGCAGAATGCGCTGATAGGAAGTCCATGCCAAAGATCATGTCGTGAGGGCGATTTTCAAGCACGGTAAATAAAACGAGGACATGGCAGCCGGCAATGCTAACACGAGCGGTACACATTCGAGTGATGGCCAGTTTCACCATCAGCGACATGGAGAGCTTTAGTCGCTGCAGGCGTGAGGACTTTTTTGAGTAGGCGACAAAGATGAGCACTCATTATGGACACTTGAGCTCTGGTATCAACTAACGTCGTAAAAGAAATACCGTCCACATACACCTCAATCAAGTTCGTATTAGTGGGGAGCGTCAACTGAGGATTTGGATCGGTCGCAATTGATGCAGCACTACTTCCCGGAGCTGCATGGTCTAGTTTTCCGTCTGAGAGAATCCATAGTTGATCGGCGACGAAAAGCAGCGTGGTTGGGGCGATGGGGATCGGCGGCGTTAAGGTGATGGCGAACGTGCGGTGGAGCGGCTGTTAGGGACGTTGGAAGAAGGGTACACATGACTGGGGGAATACCGACGGGAGTCCTTGTATGGGCGAGAAGAGGAAAATAGGCCCCAGTTTGAGGGCGTCCAAGTGCTGTGGCAGTAGCGGGAGATGTGGCCAACTCGGCAGCAGCGGAAGCAGATCGGTTTGTCGTCTGCAGTTCTCCATTCCGTCGGATTGTGGGATCGCGGAAAAAATGTGAGTCATGGCGTGGTGCATTAATCATCATTGTTCTGGATGTGGGTCGGGACACAGAGCAAACCGCAGGAAAACCGAGCTTTGCAATTTCCTGCCTCACGACGGCTTGAATAGCGGAGACCGCCGGAGGCGTTTGTGCGGCACCATGGTCGAGTGAAAGTGGAGGAAATGGTGCTGGACTTGATGCCTCAAGCTCCCGTGGAACTATAAGTGTCACGCTGTCCTGCATGGGTGGTGCGGCACCGAGATCGGTGCAGGTTGATGTAACAGCCGTGTTTGGTAGCCGCGTAAATTGAGGCAGAGCACGGCGCTTTTGGACATTTCAAGTGGCAGCATTCCTTAATAAATATATCTACGGTTGTGATCGGTGTACACGATCAAGTTGAAGGCGTCGTCCACGATGCCCTTGAGTATGTGGCCCACCTTGTCACTCTCTGTCATTCGTTCGTCCACTTTCCGGCACAACGCGAGCACGTCCTGTATGTACGAGACATACGACTCAGTCGAGGATTGCACATGAGTGGCGAGTTCTTTTGGCACTTCCATTTGGCGACCCGGCGGGTTGCCAAAGATGTCGCGTAGTCGCTCCTTGAAGATATCCCAGCTGGTGATCTCGGTCTCATGGGCGTCGAACCAGACCCGTGGGGTGCCGTCCAAGTAAAATATTACATTGGCGAGCATCATGGTAGGGTCCCATCGGTGTGTCTGGATAACCCGCTCGTACATACGGAGCCAGTAGTCGACGTCAAGCCCAGGTTGTGCGGAGAATGTACCGGGATCACGGGGTAGGGCATCGTCAGGTATGTAGTGGCTGGAGCTACAGATGGAGACGCTGACGGGTTGTTGTCACTGGTAGCCATGGCCGGAGACTAAACGGTGCGGCCACTGCGAAGCTTCGTGGTGAAGAAGGGGAACATTCCACTTCCACCAAATATGTTATGGAAAAGAAGAGGTGCCGTATCAACGAGGCTGGGGAATAGATGTATTTAAAACCAGCGGTAATGGCGTGACCGGTCCACCAGCGATCGAGCGGAGACAATCCGTCGTCTTCCTCGTCAGGCACACACGCGCGTCGCCCCCTAAAATAGCTACATGCATGCATGTAGCAATACAAAGATAACGAAAATCACTAAACTGAAAAATCGATTTTTTGGGCATTTTTTCGTCGCCAAGACCCGTGTCCCCCCTTAATGTGTGTAATAAATGTATATGCAATGCCTATGTTATTCGACAGACCATTTTTTTTAGCTACAGTTGGGTACCAAACCAGGTAAATAAGGCATTATTATCTAGCCGCAAAAAATTGTTTTTGATACCTAGTAAAACAACCCCTTTCCCCGTGGTAGTGATAGAGTTAACTAGACAACTAGACGATGTGACACAGACCGTGCGAATGAAAATCCTGCATCATACGACAAAACTTTGACTACAACGATTACGAAGCGCAGCTCCAGGGATGTCAAGCTCCTGCCATGGGGTGACCAGCAGTCATGCTTCATTGTCATGCTGGCATGCAAAACAAAGGGCAGAAAGCTCCCACCTTTCTTCTATGTTTAAAGGCAAGACAATGCTGTTGTTGTTTTTATGAAGAAAATAAAGGTGCATAGATCAATCCATAATGCTGGAACGAATTCGGATGGTCTGGAACTGTTCACTTAGTTCAATGCTGTATCTATACAGTATGCTGATATTGGACGCATTTCGCAGTAACTTGTCTGAAGCTGCAAAACGCACACTCTGCTGGTAAAGTGAACCACATAATTATACTAGATTGCACGAAGTCTACCTTTAAGACGTTAAACTACGTGGAAACCAAGCCTTTCAAGGACTTTATATGGGTGGAGTACCAAGAATAGATGTTTGGCAACCACCTGAACATCTTGATGGGACACTCGCAGAGGCCTCAACCTGCAGCTGGGTCACAAGCAGTGGCTCCTATAGACAACCTGTCTACAACTAGGTGCTCTCTTTATGGCAAGTTTGGAGTGGTGGGGGGAGATGCTGGCCAGCGATACCTTGACGATCAAATCAGTTTGATCAACAAGGCATGCAGGGCAGAAAGTGCCTGTGGCGTCCGGCGGGCAGCCAGTACTGCTAGTTGGCACTTGTGAACCAAGCTGGGCTCTCAACACAAACGCCTTCCTAATAACACCATAAAAAAAGCTGAGTAAAGGTCAGACCTACACATTGTCAGAGGTGCATTTCAGGAATAGCAAAAGTGAGAAAAAAGCTTTCACCCGAACAAGGCCAGAGAGGAACAGAAACTGAATACATTTGTTTAAACACTTATTTATCGTTGCTTGATGCACTTCTTCCGAAACTTCCGAGCCATAGATATCCTCCCACAGCACATGCATCCACAGTACCATCAAGGGTGATTGCCAAAACCATTAGCTGCCGATGGTTTAGGCAGCGGAGAACACCTTTCTTATAAGGGCAGCAGAATACCGCTCTCGCAGACCTGACATAGAGGTGGCTGTAGTGGAGTGTGCCATGCGTTTCCAATGACTACTGTTGCCTGCAGAGCTAACTTACCCAACGCAGAAGCCTAATTATGATGATAGAGCACCACGCAATACCGAAACCAAAACTGTGAATTCCAGCGAAATATTCTTGGAATTTAAATACAGCACGAGGCAGAAATTTCGCATCATAATCTATAAAAAACCTCAGACTATGCATGCGTTTTTTATGCTGAACGCTTTTCATTCCTTTCTTCCATGGTCATCGTTCTTTGCCAGATGCCATGGAGCAAACTTTCTTGAAGAATTGGCGCATCAACAACTTGCTCGATGGCACTGAAGTCCAGTGACAAACAGCTTTGAAGGTGGGCCGAGAGTGCTGTTGCGAATACAAAACACATTTCAGCAACTTATGGCCGTTTCCTTTCTTTTTCACCCATGCTTTGGGGGTCGACTCCGAATTAGTTTTCGAGTCCCGGGTTACTTAATGTGCACCTAAATCTAAGTACCCAAGTATTTCTTGCCCTTTGCCACCATTAGAATTCAGCCGCTATGGCTGGAAGTCTAACCGCGCCCTCGACCTCCGCATTGTAACACCCTACATGCTAAGCCATTACTATAACGGGTACAATGCTCTAAACGTGAGCAGCCTTCAGATTCAACCTTATATATATATATATATATGTATATATGTATATATGTATATATATATATATATATATATATATATATATATATATATATATATATATATATATATATATATATATAAAAAGACGCTGCTCCTTTTTCGGCAGCCGTTTTCTCCAGCACAGCTAGCAATCTAAATGGCCCTGCAAAACTTTTACCTAGTGACGATCAAATGGCTGTTTAGTGAGGCTATTGCTTAGTGAATCGAATGTCACATCAATTTTTATAAACAGCCAATTTTAAGCAGAGCTAGAGATTTGTCGCACGCTGGGATTGCCTTCTCTCGTCCCAATGAGAGTGTAAAGCTAAGCAGGAAGGGATGGCATGCAAGAAAAAAGCTATGTCACAAAGCGTGATGCCCTTGAGCACTTTTTTTTCTTCAAACGCACTGCTTACTCTCAGCGTGATGGCGAGCACGAGCGCACATGGCAGCCTTGGTAATTGTGCACCTCACGATGTTCAAATCGGCCAATGACAGTTAACTTTGGTACGTGGCGCGGTCACAGGGCTATATGGTATCATTTGTAGAAAGAAGAGAAACAGCCAATGACAGTGAACTTTGGCATGTGGCGTGGTCACAAGGGTGTATGGCAGCATTTGTAGAAAGAAAATGGCCATATTTCTACGACTGAAAATTAATTGTAAATTCCAGACCGCTTGCCGTGCTATGTCTGGCTCTCGTGCTCTAGGGGTTCTTGAATATTGATCAGCAGCATTAAATGACCATGCTGAATAAGTGCTGCAGGGCCCCTTTTATGTGTTCGAAAAAAACCGCATGTACCTCTACCACTTGAGCACTGGTAAACTGTGGCTATAAGCAGCGGGCAACAGGCTTGATGCAAATTATTATTCCTCCAACCATCACGGCACTCACTTTTTCCATTGTAACTAGGATGGTCTTGGAATCCTCGAGGATCCAGCAAGACTCTTCCAGCTTGATCTCGTTGAACAGGTCACCATTGATGATCAGTGGAGAGCCCTTGAGACCAACTTTCAGGTGCTGTGCAGGGGACGGGGAAAAACAGTTAGCACTTTTTCAACTGTAACCATTAAAAAAAATTGTGGCCGAAAAGTAAACGGTCACGGTGTAGCATACCTTGAAGCATTACAAGATAACCGTTAGGATTTTACATCCCAAACTAATATATGATTACGAGGAATGCCGTAATGAGCTCCAGAAAATTTTGACCACTCGGTGTTTTTTTTTTAATTTATTTTTAGCATGCCCCTACACCGAAGTACATGGTCCTCTAGCATGTTATCTTCACCGAAAAATGGAGTCGCTACAGCAGGGATTTGATCCCACAACACATATTGAAGCAGCTGGCTACTCAAATCTTATAGTATTTACAAGAAAGTATATAGTTCACTAACGTTTGCTAAATTTTGTTTTTATCTAGTACATAAGCATATTAAAGTTCATGGAATATCAGAGCAAAAATATACATGGCAGCAGTGGCGCTTGTGACACCATCTGTGACTGCTTTCTTCAACTTTAGCACCTTGAAATTTGTGTGCTGTAACAAACACTCCGACCCCAAAAAAATTAAATAAAAAGGAAGAAAATACAGTTGCCGACCGTTTATTTGGATGCTGAAAATTCAGATATGCCTGTTTATCACCCATCTTCTGTGTGAGTGTCCTCGCTTAAGTGCGTCAAGAAAAGATCTGAAGTACTAGATAGACATGAAAATTGCCCATTGTCGGAGGAACGGGTCGGTTTTAGAACTCTGGCTGACACCATCTTCGGCACCCAGGGCACCAAGAGGGTTGCCGACCGCATTCCAATGTTGTTTAGAAGTTTTCGCGGTGTTGGGCAACGACGAGATCATCCGTCAGGGACTTGACCAGCACAAGTGCCACCCACACCATAATTATCAAATGCAGATTTTGCACAAACTGTACAACCTACAACAGCTATAACCTACAGTGACAGCCAAACATTGGCTGAAATACTTGGTCTTGGTTCCCTGTGATCATGCAGACATGCAGTGACAAGTTTTTCTGGCCACAGGGCCAATAAAGGTGCTTTTCTCGTAGTGAATACTCATTTTCAAACTCTCGATTATTCAGACTTCAGTGATTTCCACTGAGTCTGAATAAATTGTACACTAAATTGCATATAAAAGACCAGCTTATTCACAATGGCCTTTTTTTTATTTTCCATTTGTTTTGCATTAAACATGAAATTACTATTTGTATGACTAACACAAATGGTTTCTATACAAACATGCCATATTTTCCAAGGGGAATAGACAACACGTTTTGAATTTGCAGAAAAACAGACTAGAAGATGCTATTCTCTCGTGTGTTATGTGGGTTAACACTTGGGTGCTGAGAAACAAGCTGGTGAAATATCTATGCATTTGGTTGCGCACTTAATTTACAAAAGATATTCTAAGAACATATGAGTGGCCCGAGAGTCTTGACAACACTGGCCCCTTCTCCAGCCGTGACGTAAAAAGCCGCTTGCTTTTGCGAGCCTGTGTATTCCAAATAATGATTCTGTCTTGAGGTCAGCTGTGTGAACAATGGAGCTATTTGGCTTTCTTCAGCTAGGCATTGAAAATTGAACAGTTTGCTGCAGTTTGAGGTAAAAGAAGACGGCTCCACTTTATGGAGAAAATGATTTCACTGGTGGCTTGGCAAAATGGTGGTCGTCGTCGATGGGTGAAGTTTACAGTTAGCGACTTCTAGAGTTCATTTTGCAATAAAGTTCTTTCACCGTCCATTCTTCATATATGCAGAAGCACAATGGGCCCTTTACGTATATTTTTCACTGAAAACTACAATTTGGTGAATAACTGTGTCATGGCCCCTTCTAGCCAGCAGAGAGACTGAAGGTCCCCCACAAAGTAAACAGCCACCATGATGCACTTACGTGCAAACAGCTTTTCAGCCTGAACAGCTTCTGCAACACATGTGACGTTGCACACCTCAAATACAATAAAAAAGAAAGACCACAGCTGACGATTAATAGGTGAGAATTATTGCAGCGATGATGGTTGGAAACTATATAATGCAGCACACATAATGCAAGCATCCCAGTGACAACAAGTGTGATGTAGACCTTAGCCCTCTGTTCCCCTTTGGAATACTAGTGACGCTTACGAGTTGCACATCCACGGTGTTTTGTGCACTTTGAGGATTACCTCAGATTAAGCAATGTGTCGCTACATACAGGCTGACCTGTTGTGTTAAACTAGAAACGTTCGATGCCTGAAACATGCACGACATGCGTGCAAATGTGTAGCTCCCTAGACCCAGTTTAGTTTGCCTTTACCATTCGCTTGGCCTAAAAATTCAGCAGGCTAAATAAGCAAGAGATTTTACTACTTTCAGTGTTGAAAATGCACTGGCAATGTCGCGAAACAGTCTTGCAATCTACCTGTAGCAACACCGTCGCTTTTACACTGCGACACAGGCAAAGTCTGAAAGATCAAACAGGAACACTCCAATTGCAATATCATGCACAGATAGCAGGTTCGAAGGTGTTAATGCAGGCACTTTTTACAATGTTTGAAAAAGTGACCAGTAACATTTTGATTCAGAAACCTTAGTTTTAATTTATAACACAAAAAAGAACTTCATAAAGCAAGCATATAAGAGTTGGTGCCTCTTTTCTGGAATGCCGGTCAAGTTACTTTCGTCAGCCACCTAGCTTGATACCCTGATACGACCCGAGCATACCGTAATTACTCGAATCAAACGCGCACCTTTTTTCCGGTTAAGCGAGTTCATAAATCGCATGCGCGTTAGAATTGAGTACGAACAAAAAAATTACGGTCAATCTATTGCCATCGGCAAATCCAAAATGGCCGCCCCCTACGTGCGTCGGCATGGCACGTCGGCCATTTCTGCCTATGTGTTTCCCATATGCGGAACTTCGTAAGTGTGCTGAGGAGTTTGTCATCTAGTAGTGCATTAGCATCGACGGCGTGGAAGGGCCGACTCCAAAAACTCAAGTGCACCACGATGCCGCTTTTAAAAGAAAGGTCATCGCGTGTGAAGAAACGGACGGAAATCGGGCCGCATCGCGGTCGTTCGGAGTTCCCGAAACGTGCGTGCGGGACCGGCGGAAACAAAAGCAGAAGATTGTCGACAGCAAAGCTTCACGCAAAGGCTTCAGTGGACCACAACAGGGTCGGTTTCCGCAAATTAAAGAGCTGCTCGGCGAGTATGTGCTTGAGCAGCGAGCGGCACAGCGGCCCGTGACGACAGAACTGCTCCAAGTGCGGGCTATGCAATTAGTCTTAGAAAAAGGTCTAATGCGGAGCCAGTTTAAAGCGAGCAGGTGCTGGCTAACTAACTTTATGAAGAGGAAAGGCTTTTCCCTCCGAAGGGGAACATGCATATGCGAAAAGTTTTGCGGAGGAGTACGATGAAAAGCTTCACAGTTTTCAGAGGTTCGTCCTAAACTTGCGGCGCAACAAAGGCTACCTGCTTGGGCAAATCGGGAATGCCGATCAGACGCCTCTTTACTTCGACATGCCTGGCACCACAACCGTCAAGAAGAAGGGGGCGAAGCAAGTTCGCGTGCTGACATCGGTCCACGGTAAAACTACAGTGACGGCAATGCTCTGTTACACGTCAGATGGGCACAAGCTCGCCCGTACCTCATATTTAAATAGAAGACGCTCGCGAAAGGAGTCGTTTTTTCGAGTGGCGCGACCATGCGGGCCAGCGAGAAAAATGGGTGCACGTTGCAATCAATGTCTTACGTTTTTTTTTTTTCCGGGGTGGAAATCGGGTGCGCGTTACAATCGAGGGCGCGGTAGAATCGAGTAAATACGGTAATTGAAAATGCATCCTTATGAAAGCTGCATTAATACTAAAATTTGCGTTCCTCCCCTCAAATCCAGGCAGCTCGAAATATGGCACTGCTGCATTGAAACATAAATGGGCCTTACACTCTCTTGCAAAGAAGAAGGAGATGATTGAGGCAAAGAACTGAAAGAAATCTTCACGCTTATATTTCGGGAAATGCGGTAAATACTCTTTGCTTGAAACGTCGCTGATGCAACTAACCTTTTTCTCGAAGTCGACGACGACATCTCGTGCCCTGATCTTCAGATTCCTTGGTATGGGAACTCTAAGCTGAAATAGTGTGTAAAAAAAATTTTTTTTTTTGAATAAAGAGTGGAATGGTTATACTGTGTGCCAGAAACAAAAAAATTGATGCACTCTACAACTGCTGCAAACCAACAAGGAGCACATACACACAATGCATCTACCGGCTACTGAATACCAAACACGGTACCTGAGGTCACGTTTCCCCACTTCTAATCATCACAAAACTGATCGCAGTGGCTTAGCAGCTGGTGTATTTTCTCACATACAAACCACTTCTGCATATAACTTACAAGTAGTGGGGGCATCCCATCGTGCTGTCGCAAAGCCACTTCTTTTGTATTATCGTGTAACAGTACCATGAAAACTGGCATACTAAAATTTCTGTATAGCCCAGACGCTGACATTAGCTATGGACCTTTTGTGCGTATACTTTGTGTAGGTTATACGGAAGAAAAATATGGTTTGTAAATGTGCTGCTAAGCATGAGAGCAAGGGCTTCAATTTATGGCTACAGCAGCCAAAATATGAAGTCAGAACACTAGATGCCTGTGTTATTACTCTCTACACATATTTCAACATATTGTCACGCGCTAGGAGCTCGAAGAAACGTACAAGGAGACGCAACTGTGAAAATCTCAGGCACAAAGAAGGATGTCTCGGGTCGCTCGTCTTCATCTTCTTCGTTCACCGGCACAGAACTGATTCACTGTTTACTGGCACAGCACACCAGGTGGCATTACTGCTCCTCCCAAGAGAGCATCGACCCGATGCTCAAACAAAAGTGTGCACAGCAGTGGGTCGAAGTAGGCAACATAAACATTAAATAAAGTAGTGCACGAGAGAAAATGCATCCTGGGTCCGGCCATCGGGAGTAAACGAAATTCACTGTTCACATGAAGAGTTCACTGGCACACGAAGAAAATTCGCATAATCGCGTAAAGCATGGTTTTAGGCGGACTATGTGTACAGTCTCTGGGCGTGGTAACCTGCGCTGGGATGGTGGTGAGCCTCTGTCTGGAACCATTTCGTAGTTCACGTCGCTCACACGTCTGAGTACTTTGTAAGGTCCAAAGTATTTCCTCAAGAATTTCTCACTAAGACCTCACCGCCTAATGGGTGTCCAAACCCAAACTTGGTCACCAGGTTCATAATCAACATCTCGATTGTGGATGTTGTACCGCCGTGTATCTGTGCACTGTTAAGCTCTGATGTGCACACGGGCCAGTTGACATGCTTCCTCAGCGCGCTGAATGTACTCATTGATGTCAAGGGCTAATTGGTCGAGCTTGTCGATGTCCTCATACAGAATCATGGCGTCTAGCATAGTTCTGACATCTCGACCATAAACGAGCCGGAATGGCGTGAAGCCTGTAGTTTCCTGCGTTAGTGTTATTCACAAATGTTATGTGCGGCAGGATGCGTCCCACGCTTTGTGCTGCACGTCCACGTACATAGAGATCATGTCGGCTAGCGTTTTGTTTAGCCTTTCTGTTAAACCATTACTCTGAGGGTGATACACAGTGGTCTTTCGGTGGGTTGTAACTCAACCTGAAGATATCATCCAAGAGCTTCGCTGTGAAAGATGTCCCTCGATCAGTAATGACATATGATGGTGCGCCATGTCGTAGCCCAATTTGATGCAATAAAAAACTGGTAACTTCAGATGCGGTCCCTCGTGGCAACGCCTTCGTCTCAGCGTAATGCGTCAAATAATCAATTGTGACAATAATCCATTTGTTGCTGGAAGAAGACAAAGGAAACGGGCCTAGGAGGTCCATTCCCACTTGATCAAAAGGGTGTACGTGGTGGATCGATCGCTTGTAGATGGCCTGCAGGCTTTAACGGTGGTGTCATACGACGCTGGCATTCACGGCATCCCTTCCCGTAGCGTTTGACCCAGGCAGGCATTTTAGGCCAGTAGTATAGTTGTCGCACCCGATCCATAGTTCTCGAGTAGCCCAGATGGCCGGATCCGATCCATAGCTCTCGAGTAGCCCAGATGGCTGGATGTGGGCGTGTCGTGGCAAGCTAATAAGACATCGCGGAGGGTTTCAGGCTCATCGAGAAGATGAGATCTGTCACCAGCACCGGTGTTCCTTTAGTATAAGATGCCATTTCGTAGGCAAAAATGATGGCAGCGTTCGCGACAATGGACGAGGAATAGGCCCGGTGCCACCTTGTAAGTGATCTAAATCATTTTTCGATCGGCGTCATTTTGTTGATGAGACATCAGATCCGGCCCGCTGAGAGTTGCCACGAAGGCGCCGTCCTCTTCTGCGCTTGTACTGGCGGATTGAAGAGGTGCTCGTGATAGCATGTCGGCATCTTCGTGCTTTTTGCTTGACTTGTACACGATGGTGACATCAAATTCCTGTAGGCGTAGACTCCATCGTGCTAATCGTACTGAAGTGTCTCAAAGATTGGCCAACTAGCACAAAGCATGATGGTCAGTCACTACTTTAAATGTTTTTCCATAGAGATATGGCCTAAACTTTGTAATTGCACAAATTGCCGCGAGACATTTTTTCTCTGTTAGCAGTAGTTAGATTCTGCGCGAGACAGTGTATGACTTGCGTAGGCTATTACCTGTTCAATGCCGTCTTGTCTTTGTACCAAAATAGTTACAAGACCAATATTGCTGGCATCAGAGCGTACTTCTGTATCAGCATCTTCATCGAAGTGGCCGAGCACGGGAGAGGAAGAGAGCCGGTGCTATAGTTCCGCAAAGGCAGTCTGTTGTTCGTCAGCCCAGACAAATGGTGTGTCATCACGCGTGAGGCATAATGGTGACTCCACAATGTTGGAGTAATTTTCAATAAAGCGCCGGTAATACGCGCACAGACCCAGAAATCGTCGAAGACTTTTCTTGTCTGTTGGAGCTGGAAAAGCGGCAACGGCAGCAGTTTTGTCAGGATCAGGCCGAACACCAACAGCGCTCAGGATGTGACCAAGAAACTTTAATTCTTCGTAGCCGAAATTACATTTCTCAGGCTTGAGTGTGAGATCGGCCGATCTGATGGCTTCGAGCACATTCCGAAGGCGACGAAGATGCTCGTCAAACGTTTCTGAAAACACAACGACATCATCGAGGTAGACGAGACAGTTTTTCCACTTGAGGTCTGCCAGGACAGTGTCAATCATTTGCTGGAATGTGGCTGGAGCGGAACAGAGGCCGAAAGGGAGCACTTTAATTTTATAAAGGCCATCAGGCAATACAAAAGCGGTCTTTTCCCGGCTTGTTCATCGACCTCTATTTGCCAATAAACACTCTTCAAGTCTACGGACGAAAAATACTTCGCGCGCCGCAGCTTGTCCAGAGAATCATCGACTCTGGGCAACGGGTATACGTCTTTTATTGTGACATTGTTCAACTTCCTGTAGTCGACACAAAAGCAAAGCATGCCATCTTTCTTTTTTGCAAGAATGACTGGTGATGACCAAGGGCTGCTTGAAGGCTGTATCACGCCATCGTGAAGCATTTCCTTAACATGCTTTTGAATCGTGTGCCGTTCGGTTGGTGAAACACGATAAGGTTGCCGCTGTATAGGATGCGCATCGTCGTAGGTGATACTACGGTGTTTCGTTATCGGTGTTTGACGTACCTTCAAAGAACGTGCTAAGCATGTGTGGAACTCCTGCATCAGCTCACTCAAACGCTTGCTTCAGAAAGCGTTGGATTGATGTCGACGCTGCGGAAAGGCGCTTCAGGAGTGCCAATGGCCTCGGAAGCAAAACACTCGGTGACATTGGCGACTGGGTCGGCGTAGGCGATGACAGTTCCAGGAAAAAGGTGCCAGTGCTCGTAGCTGAAATTTGTGACAAAAACGTCGCAGTGATCATCACGAAGGCCAACAAGGATTCTCGCTACGCAGACACCCTGAGACAGCAGGAGCAAGTGATTGCTTTCCATGACTGCTTCACCGTGTATCACTCCGTTCCACGCCACCTGAACCACAACAGTTGCACGGGGTGGTAACGTGACAGCGTTGTCGATGACGCGAAAAGACACTCGTGAGTGGCTGGGGTCCGCGTAAGCTGTTGTGGCGTTTGTGGTCGCGAAAGTGACTAGACGTTGTCGAATGTCAATTATAGCACCATGCTCCCCGAGAAAACCCATGCCAATGTTCAGGTCTCGAGAACACTGCCGGAGAATGCTCAAACTGGCAACAAATGTGCAACGGCGGACTTGCAATCTTGCCGTGCACATACCGAGTGGCGTGACGATATATCCCCCAGCTGTGCGAATTGGCGTTCAGTTCCAAGGCGTCGTTACTTTCTTCAAAAGGGCGGCCAGTTTTTCGCTAATTATGAAATAGTCTGCACCAGTGTACACTAAAGCGCTGACTTCGCAACCATCTAGCAGAACAGGAATATCTAAGGAAACTCTTCCGCAATCAGCCGGTGATGTCGTTGTCAATGTATCGTCGGTATTTTCAGTCCGCGTCGATAGGGGGCCTTGAGCATGACCAGTCTGAGCGGCCATGCCCCCGAAGGTCGCTGAGGCTAGTTTTCCCGACGCGGGCTAGGTGACCGGCCCTGCGCCACGCCCGAATAGGTGCATGATTCGGCGAGAACCGCCGCGGTGATCGATAGCGTGGGTGGTGCAGAGATGTTGATCCGTGCTGCTGGGCAACGTAGTCAGCAATTTCTGGAGGCCGCTGGTCGAACCTAGGAGGTGCGGAGTTGGCCGAAAAACCACAAAGTCCCAGCTCTCGATAAGTGCACTGTCGGTAGATGTGCCCAGGTTCTCCACAGTGATAGCAAAGAGGACGTCGATCGGGGGCCCGCCACACGTCTGATTTTCAAGGAATTGGTCGACGGTTGCTGAGGTATGGGCCCGCTTGGACTGCCTGAAGCATGGCTGGGGCTGTGGTATAAGGAGGAGTGAAACATGGTGCAGGTTAGCGCAGAGTTTGGTCTGCCGGAAGCATGGCAAGGGCCGCAATGGGAAGCGGAGCCAAAGGTGGCGCTGGCTGGAGCAGAGTTTGCGCATACGATATGCGAGGGAAGTCATTTAGGGGTCGCGGCTCTGTCTGACAGGACGGTTCTCGTAGTGCCTGCTGAACTTCATCCCGGACGTTGCCGGACAAAGAACTGACAGTGGGCGCCGAGGGCACTGATAACTTTAGCAGTTCTTCGCGGATTACAGAGCGTATGAGCTCTCGGAAGAAGTTGACGTGGCCCCCAAAAACCACCCATGTAGACCGTAATAGGCAAAGTTCACTTGTCGTTCGTACGTCTGGGTCCATTGCCGAAGCGTGCTTTCAATCAGGACGGCTTCAGCAAGAAACTCTAACGTAGTCCTGGGGGGGGGGGGGCTGCGTACAAGACCACCGAACAACTGCTCCTTCACTCCACGCATCAGGTATCGCACCTTCTTTTCCGGCATGGAAAAAGACGCGTCATGTCCTCCACATACATTGCGACGCCTTCATTTGGCATTTGCATACGACACTAGAGTTTACGTTCAGCTCACTCTCGGCAATCGGGACTTGCATACGTTTCGAGAAGCCAGCGTTTGAAGTCTACCCGTGACGTGAACACACCTGCCCGGTTTTCGTACCAAACACGCGCCCCGTCAATCAAACTGAAGTAGACATGTCAGAGCTTGTCTCTGTAACCCCACATGTTAAGAGTGGCAATGAAGTCATAGTGGACTAGCCAATCTTCGACATTCTCATGGACAGCACCATGAAAGGGATTTGGCGTCGTGGTTTCAACAGCGTATATTGCATTGGCGTTGCGCCTTCCATACCGGCTGGGTTGGAGCCGCTTGGGACAGCGCTGCCTGGGATAGTTGGGGCCGTCATCTCCTCTGAGAGAAGTCGGAACTCGGGGTCAGGTCTACGGATCCTTCGGCTAGCACAGTGAACAGGCGTAACCACCGGTATGGGGCTGGAGCTTCTTGTACTGAGAGGGGTTCGGTGCATGGGGTACCCCACACCTCCACCAGTTGTCACGCACTAGGAGCTCAAAGAAACATACAAGGAGACGCGGCTGTCAAAATCTCAGACACGAAGAAGGACGTCTCGGCTGGCAGGGGTTGCTCGTCTTTGTCTTCTTCGCTCACCGGCACAGAACTGGCTCACTCTTTACTGGCACAGAACACCCGTTGGCAATATTTTAAACTCTTAAGCATTCTGATATTTTGAGAAGTTTACACCGCCAGCCACTATGGCGAAGGCACTCCGATGTTCCACGAACGTTTTGATGCCACTGGACCATCATCAAAAGTACAACTTTTGTAGGCACAAAATGAATATAACCAAGAACAAGTTGCAAATACATTTTAAGCCAGAGATTTCATTCTTTTCATGCATAAAGAAAACATGATTTGCTACTTGAGAATAAATTTATCTTAATTTGACTGCTCATTTGGCGTATTTCTTTCCTGAAATATAATGTCACGTGCGTCCGAATAATATTGGGCAAATTTTACACACGTGCAGATAGTTCGTCATCACTCGTGTACGATGAGATTAAATAGTGAATTCAGCATGAACAGTCATTCAAAAAGAATATGACTGCTTCATGTGAATGCACCTATTTACCAAAATACCTTTCTCAAAACAGCACAAACAAGCGATCGAAGCAGATCATGTGCAAAAGAGAAATGACAAAGAGTAGAAGAATAAATAGAACATCGCTGGTAATGGAGAAGAGAAAGCCATGGGGCAGCAAGCTGGCACACTTCCATGATGCTCACCTCAATCTCCGAGAGGGTCTGGGTCCACTTGTAATTCTCCAAGTCACAGCCATTGCCAGCGTTGGGCTTGAGCTTCCCCTTGTCATTTTCGTCTTCTTCCTCATCCTCATCCGCCTGATGAAAGTTAACACAAAAGTGAGCCAGTGCACTACACTACAATCTCATTAGAACGTCCTATCAGCAGACTTAGCAATTTATGAATAGTGAAGCATGCTAAAAGTGTAGAACATGGCAAGCTTATCTACTGCATGGGAGAGGTCGAACGACAATAAAGGAAAAGTGAGCCTAAATTGCTAGGCATTCTGATAATCTACCTGCCTCCCCTCTCTACTTTTCCATCTATTTACCTTTTTCTCTTCTTTGGCTTCCTTCTTTGCCTCGGCAGCCCTCTTTGCTTTCTCTTCCTTTTCCTGAGAAGAAGTACACAGAGACATGTTATTTGCAATAAGCTCACATCCGTATTTCAGAGCCACAGAAATAGAAACGAAATCACTAAATGCTTGTTAATGACACTAGCTTACAAGCCCGCATATCCCCCTCTGCAGTGGTGGCTACATTTATGCTTGTTGCGTCAACTTGTAGTGAAAGCAGAGCAAGATACAATGTTCATTGGATGAACTGAACCTTCTCCATTATGAGTATGGCTTGACTTCAGCGTGCTGCGTATGACTGTGATCGATCACTTTGGTGAAGTTAACGCCACGTTTGACGGTTCGTATGACGTGCACTGCTTCAGGAGCTAATTCGGAAGTACTACTGCTTTTCCTTTCTCGAAATGACCACAACAAAAAACTATTTGCGCTCAAATCTGGACCTAGTGATTTTATTATAATCATGTAAAAGTGGAGTGTCACTGACTGCCCAAAAATAAGATACTTTATAACATACTGATTACAATTAGTGACAAGCTCACACAAGACAACATACTGCTTTATTTTATTTTCTTTTTTGGAACGACATATTGAGTGCCTTGAAATTATGCTATGTTAATTTGACACATTCGTAGACAGTGCATCATAAAGTGTGCCTGAAGAGAATATGCCAAATATACTACTAGCAAGCCTCATAATTGTTGGCAATGACCACGAAACACACACTGCTTGTCTTTCATGATAAAAACATTTTGGCTCGTGATTAATCATAGAAACGACTTCTTTACAGTGCAGTTTCACAATATTTGATGTGGCACACTATTGGTGCTGCATGATGTTTACTGGGAGAAATCTTGAAAAGACACACAAATATACCAGATTTCGAACAATGGAAATGCCGAAAGTCCAACACAACTTGATCAACATTCATTTCCTCTCGAAAGGCATGCAAACACTATTCAAACCCCCAATTTTCACTTGCAGGTTGTGTTGACTGAAGTATAGACAGATCAGTGCAGCAAGAAAAGCAGCAATAGGGGCACGCATTACTGAAGCCATTCTTTCTAGAAAATTCAAAACACACACAAAAAATGCTATCCTTAAATCGATGTTTGCATGGTAAAATGACCACATTTCACTCGCCAGTGACAGTGCAAAGGGCCTCCAATGGAATGAGCTGCAAGATCCCATGCAGGGGAAGCTTGCACGCCATTGTTGCTTGTCTTGTCTAATGTAATGTTGACACTGTTACCCCGGTAATAAGCAACCTAGCGCCAGACCACATCATTTTGTTTACACAGTAAGGCTTTTAGAAACTAGTTACCCTGATTTGTCAGAATGAGAGGGTGCTACTGCTTCGAAGCAAGGCTATGTCTGCCATTTTCAACAAAGATGCGCGTTACTCCCTTCTCTCATTCTGAGAAGGGAAAATGTGAAACGAAGAGAGCAGTAAAGCAAGGTTGCCCCTAGCATTCTGGGACTGTCCAAAGTCTTGTAAATTGTTCGGAAAGTCGCCCGCAGCAACATCAAGGAAGGGTATCACTTGCACCAGCGTACCACACGTGGGCAAAGAGGCAACTGATGAAGGTACAGAAGCAGGAGGAGGAGAGAGAGAACTTTTTCATATGGACACCTGACCTGCGCAACCAAAAAAAAAACCAGAGGCGAAAAGGCAGCCAACACCTCTGTCACGCTTAGTAGTTGGAATCTTTTCTTTTTGTTGTTGTTGTTGAGAGGTCATCTATTTAGAGTTCTATGCAAAAGTACAGAATAGAAAAATGAAACCCAGTATCGATCTCAGCCTTGATGCAGCACCACTATAACTTTTAATGATACTATTATTCAATCTTACGTCTGCACGCATCTTCATAATTTCCACCCACTATAGTTCTGCCGAGTGCCACTGCATGTTCATGCAGTGGCAGTGAGGTAGTGACTTTATAGCGTGACCAAAATACTAAATCATTAGATATGAGTACTTATATCAATGCTAAAATTATCCACAGCTATCAGCCTATGCACACCACAAATAAAAAAACTCCAGGCCTGCGCGGTACGTGCAGCGCTGTCAGAAGGAAAGCTAGAATAGCAGCCTTTAAAAGCTTTTTCTAAACACTTCTTGAGTTACTGCTACAAACACACTTGCTAGATACCCAATACGCCATAAATAATTTTTTCTGTAGTAGGCCAGCATACACTATGCAATCCTTCGTCATTCTCTGGGAAAGCGTGGTATCAGCTACACATTTGTTAGGAATATTGTGCAATTTTTTTATGCTGTGGTTGACGAGGATGAAGAATTATGCCTAAAGTGGGTATGCGCCACAGTCAATAAGTGACCAAGAAAGAGTTTTCTAATGGGTTGGAGCATTGGATGACCCACTCGTTATGCAATTCAAATTTTGTGATGCCTGGTTGTTCTTTTTATGTTCTAAAATGCTTTATTACTCATTAACTCATTACTCATGTCTTGTCTATGTATTTTTTTCTTTTCATTAACATTGTTCGTCAGTGCCCGCTCCCCTCTACAATGCTGTAAAGCCCTGAGGGTACAATAAATAAATAAAAAAAAAATTTACGCGATTCTTTTCCCGACATCCAGCCTGCCCAAGGCCAGTTCAGAAACGAGTTCTAAGCACTGGCGTGGCTCAGTGGTAGGATACTGGGCTGGCACACAGATGACCCGGGTTCGAATTTATTGTGTCATTGGCGTTTTTAGGGGCGAAGCTCCTCTTAGTCTAACCTCGTCCTGTGTCAGGTATAACCGGCAGTATCAGACAGACAGACAAACAGATAGACAAACAGACAGACGGAAGCATGGACGGATGGACGAGCAGACGGACTGATGCACAAGGGCCGGCCAGATCAGATGCACGGACAAACACACAGACAGATAGACAAACAGACGCTTAGCCTCACTTATCATCATTCAGTTCGTGAATATGCTGTGATTTTTTTTTATTTACCAAAGTTTTTTTCTCCTTATTTCTTGTGATACTTGTTACGGCTGCGGCGGACTACAATGGCGCCACACGTGACTTGTGTTCTGATCCCATAACAGCTTTTGCTAACACACAGGCGCTTCAAACGTGTTGGAGGCCCCCTTTAAACATACTACTTCGACCCTTTGATCAGGAACTACAAATATATCCCATGCTTTCTATGAATTTATGTGGTTGCGGGCAAAAGAAATAGGCCCCCATCTATGTACCCCTTTCTCATTCATGGCTTATGAGACAGGCAACTTGAATGCATATCTGCACAGCTCTTTCAGTTGTCACACACAGAAGACGTGTCTCTGATCATGACACGTATACATGCAAGAACGGGTACAGCACTAGGCATACCACAAATGCAGAGGTTGCAGTCCTTTTTCCGAGAGTTGCTCTTGCGCCTGTCACACTCTTGCATGCCTGTATACATTAGAATGGCACACCCTCTGTTTCTAATACCGAAAACCCCAACCTCCTGCAAACATGCAAGCTCCAGACAGAAAAACAGAACAAGATAAAATTCCATACACCTGGTGCTAATATTAAAACAATGCAGCCACAAAGATGGTTCAAGCAAGCAATACAAGCCGAGTACCTAGCATGCAGGTGTGAGACTTTTACTGCGGCTCGACACAGTTTCTGGCTTAAATTTGACTGTAGCTCAACAATATCACCATTTACAGTGTGTCCAACAATGCAAAGCACAGTGCGAAGCAAGCAAAGGTATGCAAACAAAAACGTCGTGAATGGTAAACCTATGCCTGTAGCTGTCTTTCCGTATGTTACTTCAGCGGCCAGCCAATGCTGGAAAGGCCAACTTCGGCGATTTTTTGACTATGTCAGTGTAATGGTGCTTCTAGGTTCCTCAGACACTCTTGTCACGAGCCCGATAGCTGAAATGCGCAGCAAAGTCAAAAATAATTTTCAATAAGCAAAAAGGCACAATACCAAAACCACAATCCAACAGAGCTGACTGTATACATATGACATGCTATTTGGTAAGAACCAGAAGTTGTATATTGGTCCCGCCGGCGCGGAAAACTGTGAAAGGAGGGATGAGAAGGCACTCGAGCAGAGCCGAGCGCACCGAGCCAGCTAAAAACCACAGAGGAATGAAGGAAGCTTTTCCATGCCAAACACCGCAGCCATCACCTTGTAGCCAGCACAGTAAACACTGTAACAACCAAAGTGAGCGATGCCATCAGCTGAGTCCCTTCTGTTGACATGCCAAAGATCACGTTGCACAAACAGTGCTTTGCCAATACTGGCAAGCCAGGTGAACGTTCCGAGCCAATCTTTAAAATTGATTTGTGAACAATCATTGATTGATTGATATGTGGGGTTTAACGTCCCAAAACCACTCTATGATTATGAGAGACGCCGTAGTGGAGGGCTCCGGAAATTTAGACCACCTGGGGTTCTTTAACGTGCACCCAAATCTGAGCACACGGGCCTACAACATTTCCGCCTCCATCGGAAATGCAGCCGCCGCAGCCGGGATTCGAACCCGCGCCCTTCGGGTCAGCAGCCGAGTACCTTAGCCACTAGACCACCGCGGCGGGGCGATTTGTGAACAATCAGCACATCCCTCAAGTATGTAATTTGGCGCAGATGACAGAAATGTGCAAAGGAACGTACCCAGTGAATTTCATTGAGATTCATTGATCTCAAAAAATAGCCGGAATCGACCTTTAAAGGACCCTAAACCACCACCGGCAATTTTTTAACATTTCAAGTAAATGAGCACATTGAGTACCGAATGTCATCATTATGAACAATGCCAAATGCAGAAGCACTACGAACTGCAGGGGCAACACAAATTCCAAGAAGCAATTCTTCCTTCTTCACAAGTCTTTTGCCAATCCATACTATTGGCCATGACGTGAACATTTGAGTCTCGTACTGTTATCAACAAAAAGGACCTGCTTGCTTGCTCACAGATACGGGCAGTCCCCACTCTTCCTCCAAGCCAATGAATGAAGCTTAGAGAAAAAAAATAGCAAAGCAAGCCGGGGGCCTCATTTGGATTATGAAACGTGTGTACCTCCACTGTTACAGCTATGTTTCAGAAAATTCTTCAAGCTACATGCTCTCTCTGAATACAAAGCTACCCCACAACTAAATTTTGACCTCTAGATGGCTCAAGGGACCTTTAAGATACTCTTCTGCATTTCTCAGAATTACAGTTGCTTTACACTCATGCCTACTTTGTCCAGGTGCTGTAACGCTAAACTACCAACAGATGGTTCTGTCAACATTACTGTGGCCTCCATTACGTACTACCAGCATGTCGAGAAACTGTGTGATCAGTAAACACAATCATAGAGCAGCAAGACCAGTTATAATGAGCAATAAACAAAGTCAAAATGCGGTGAAAATGGTCCCCAGTGAAACAGGAAACAATGCATGCACAATAACATGATGCACTTAGCAGGAGTGCAACAGCCGAAACAGAATATGGAGCAATTTTTGGAGCAGCAAAATGTTACTTTTCAAGCACTAAAATCCAAATTTAGAGCAGATTATGGGGAAAGAAATGATTTTTTTTTATCACGAAAAAAACAAATATGGAGCAATATCAAAAAGAAGGCTTTCATTTAGAAACAAAAAAAATGCACAAACCATTCAACTTCACCTAAATCGTGCAGAGTGAATATGAGCCCTTCTATTTCAATAAAACTATTTTGAACCACACCACTCGGCAGACAATGCTAAAATCTCCAAATCTCCATTGGCATTTGCCACACCGGTCAAATCCTTGGACAGACTAAGAGGATTCAAATGTGGATCTGATGAGATGGTGACCTTATAGGTGGAAAAAAAAAGGCGCAGTTTTGCTTAGTATTTTTAGGGGCTGCCCAAATCTTATACAGTGCTCCAAACAATTGCCAGTACTTTTTTTTAAATGTCAGCGATCATACTAGTACTCATAGTCATGCTGAGTATACATGCATGAGTAATTTAACAAACTGTGCTGTGTACCGTGACAAAGCCAAGCAGCCTCTTCCAAGTCTTAAAACACTTTTACACACATCACCAGTGTACTGCGGTAAGGTGGACTACGCGGAGTTCTGCACGGGTTAGAACAAGGTCAAGAAATTTTCGAACCGCTACAACCCCCCTTTGTTTTATTCACGACGGAGTTAGGTTTAAGATGCAAATTCAAATGTTATGTAGTCAAATATCCTTGCAAGGCACGTTTGACTAAATAAGGTAACACCAGAACGTGCGCATGGGCTCGGCACCGCTTATTTATATTATGCGCCCTTGCTATGGCAACTGAACGTGGTCACCGGCAACGCCAGCATTCGCAGCACGTCGAGTTTGTTCGCACGCAATGACAGCAGCATACGCTTCCAGGTTTAGTTTTTCATCCACCGCGGTCAGCGGATGGATGGGCCCACGGTGATGCTACTTTATTTGGTCGATCACGTTTCGCGAATTTCCTGCCGTGGTTTAGGGTAAGGGTCTGCACGCCTATATCTCTGAATTGATAGAGGACGTAAACTACAGGTGGCCAACATAACCTTGCTGAAATTAGCGCACGGGAATTCTTGCACAGTGTGGTGCGATTTCAGCAGATTGAATAGTTTTGGCACAGCTCAGTGCAAAAATGAGGAATTGTATCAGATTAGCACAGCTGTTACACCCTACTTAGATCATAATGGCCGTCATACTTAGTTATACTAGCACGTTAAGTGGCTACATTCGTGACATAAAGTAATAACTGTTGACAATCATTTGTGGCTAACCGTACATAGTTGTACATAGTGGTGTTGCAAGGGGATCGAGAGCTTAAATCGAAATTTCATCAACCCCCTCCTCCTCTACCACATCATCCACGAAGCTTGTGCAAGCAGCACAGCAAATGATATGTGACAAGCACGCAAAGTCCTTCTCTTCGGCTTTTACTGTGTCCTAACCCTTTGCGACATGCATTATGATCGGCTGCCTATAAATGAGTGAAAATTACATAATATGATGCCAAAATTCAGGAGACCGAAATTAAAGCAAGTGGAAATGTTAAAATATATTACCGTGTATTTTACAGGAATTCAATATAGTTATTACATAAACGATTATTTAATATATGTAGTCAGTCATGCTATACTTCATAAAATTTTTCAGAATTCAACGACCCACTCAAAATACGTGTGAAAGTTTTGTCATGGTAGCAAGGATTCTTAAAATGGTAAAAAAAAGTTTTGAGACTCCTGGTGGAGTGCTCCACCTGCCCAATGCCTCATTTTGTACGGAACCGTCTTGCACAATGCGATCACGTGAATAAACGAGGACGCCTCGTCTCAAAGAGTGAAGCAGGAGCACTAAAGCAAACTTTTTGTCAGTACTGATATGAAAGTCTTGCAATCGTTGCTGAAATTATGAATCACCCTCTGGTCATGGCATGGGAGCAATGGAAGACGAAGTATAACTGCGTGCCTGGCGGTACGCACCTTGTCTAACTCTTTCTGAAGAGCTTCAGCCTCGGCGTCTGTAATTTCTTCAACAACGCACTCTTCTTTGTCCTTTTTGAATTTCGCCTTTCGTTTTTCCTCGGCTTCTTTGGACTTCTTGTCTTTCTCCGCCTTCTCTGCCAGTGCCATAGACTCGTACTTGGAAAACTTCTCGAGTATCAGCTGCAACACATGTAAAAAGATTGTCATCGCTATGTGACGTTCACTGCAGCCTCAGGGCATTGCCAAATGATTTCGTGAATTACTCCACCTTGCACAAGCTAACTTTCCAGAATACCGGCAAAATTTCCGATAACACAACACCACGTAACTTTCTGCCATCCTTGTCTGTGGTTCCTGTTCTTTGTCCACCACTATGTGAACCACAGTTACCTCTATGAATTAAGTGCATAACCAATGATCTTCAAAACAGCTAACAAAATCACCTGGGAAGGTGAAATGAAAGGCCAACCAGATATTTGCTTTCCGGTTAACCTGCATGCCTTCCTTCATACTGTGTATATAAAACTCGCTCTATAAAATTATAACTCTGTTCGGAACCTAGACACAACAATATATTCATAGCCCGGACGAGATATCTCTGACAGGTGTTTCAGCATCCAAAACCAAAACTTGGGATTAGAGTGTTGGAAGAGTAAACATTATCGAATAGCATTTTGCCCTGTCGGATTCTTTTATGTGCCCCCTAATATCCGACCGCATAAAACAATATTAGACTCCTTGTCCGAGTCTACAAAATCATTCAAAAAGCTTATCATCTACGAAATCTTCTTAATGGTTGCTCGAACGGTCGCAATAGTGCCGAACAAAAGGTCGACTGAGACAACAGTGGCATGTAACTTCAACAAACAACAAATGCCACGAAGGGGTCATTTCAGAAATGCACAGCCGATTACAAAATTAGGTGACCTGTGACACTTCAACTGACCCAAGTTGCCTCTTGGGCAAAATATTTTGAAACACTTTACATTTACATTCTAAACATAAGCGTAACAGCTACAAGAAAATACAGTTGGGAAAGTTACTTCACCCACCTTTTTGGCGGAGCCCGGCCCGCCACCGGTGTAGAAGTCCGTTTTTCTGGCGAGAAAGCTGAAGAAGGTTTCCAAAAGCTAGAAAATGAAACAAGGGCACATCATTACTGCAAAAATCTCCAGCAGTTGGGACTTTTATGTTTCACAGAACGGTGACCCAAGACTGTACTTTGAGCGGCTAAGCATTGCTGTTATTCTTCCAGTGATGGAAGAGACATTTTGCTTTTTGGAGCAGATTCTGGAGCAGGAAAAATGGTGCTTTGCAGCAGGCTTAAGTGTCTTCAGAGCAGAAAAAAATTCTATAGCTTAGGGTTGCTATTTGCGTTTTCGGAGCAGACGTGTGTTCCTAACGATTCCTGCAGTCTAAAACATCACTTAAGCCCCTAATAAATATTTATATTTATTATTAAGCATTCCATATGATAATATGCAGCTAGTATACAAGCCGTATAGTAGCATCATTGGTATAAATCATGTGGGCGGGGGAGGGTCAAAGGAGTCTGAAATTTTCAGTATTCAGGCTGGGGAGGACAGCCCTAGCAAGTGTACCCCTTGAAATTCAGCTTGAGCATGTGATATAATTGAGCTAGCAGTTAAGTATAGTGTAATCAACATTTTAAAAGGCTCTTTATCTGTTACTGCATACCTATGTTAAATGCCCCTCAGCTGAACTATGGAAATCGGAAAGAGGTGAAAAAAAAAAAAGACTGAATTGAACAATGCAACCGCTCGGACACCGTGCTGGTTTTGTAAAATTCTATTTGAAAGCATGATTTAATTCTTATATAAATAAAAACACAACCCATAACAAAATACGAATTGGCCACCATTGCCTGGTATGCGTCACATCTCGTGATTTTTCTGGATCAACGCCACTGAGTTGCATACTAGGATAATAGTGTGTATACAACTTGCTTTCGGTTTCGCTTAGCCTCACGGGGTGGTCCCATGGTTGAACTTGATTCTTTTTAGTTTGCCATTCCATTTTGGTGGAGGTTTGGAGCAGTTACTAGCAAATGTAGCACTTTAAAGCAGCATGCAGCAGCATTTCTCTTTTGGAGCAGTTTGGAGCAATTGGAGCAGCACCTTCATCACTGTTCTTCACTGTGGTTGTGTGCAACCAAGAGCTTTCTAGAATCGAAGTCAACGACAGCGCCGTCTCCAAAAATCGACGATGCTGTTCGTCTACACTTGGGCCGAGGCTAGCCACAAGTGAGAGATTAAGATTAAATGCAACTGCGACAATTTCAGCGCTTCTAGTACAGGCGACGCTCGTTTAAGTGGCTCTAACGCCATATCGGACCCGGTGAACAGATCCGTCAGTCATCGGAACATGCAGGCGTGTTTACGTCGTTAGGCCTAGTCACGACCACGAGCGGTGTGGCAACCGCGAATTTATCGCTGTCCGACTTACATGTTGCACACCACCTTCGTGCTGCTGCGCCAAGGCGAGCAGCATGCCGTCGAATTTCTCCACGTCGGATTCGGGCATCGTGGCGTTGTTGGAAGGGAAGTAGACGGCACGCAACAACAGATCAGCGAGTCCGATGCACGCCTGTCGTTTACCGCGGTTTACCGGCGTCACACGGCCGGCGTTGCCTGGCAATGCGGAAAGCAAACGTTACCATCATCATCATGAACTTTTAAAATGGGTTTTAAAAAACTAAAATAACAAGCCGTTTGTAATACCAAACGTAAACTCATAAAATTTCTACTGGTGTAATTTGCGTGGGAGTTAGTTACCAAAAGTGTTGCGTGGTACGAACTTGGTTGCGGTTTCGCTTTCATTGTTTCATGCAAACTTGTCAATCAGTGTGCTCAAGCTTATCATTAGTGTGCAGAAATGAGAGGATGAGACTGCAGTCAATCTTCAGAAAAGCTACACAAATAAAATTTTGAAGTTTTGCTTTTAAGCAAGCAAGCAAGCATAACGCAAGCTCGAACACCCACTCGAATAGCCAGTAAGTCAGTTGAATTCTCCCACCTTGAAGCTAACGTATCACGCACACACAATGTAACTTGATGACTTGCCGTTGTCAGCTTTGTTGTAACGGTTATAATAATTGTGATCTCAACCAACGCCAGCATTGGTCAAAAGTGGGAAAGAGATGAAGGCTATGGCTACAATGCGATTCTGAACCGCAAAAATGTATTGCCTTCAAGATTTGTACGAAATGGTCACTGTAGTAAGCTCTGTCAAAAATTGTGTACAATTAATATTTAAAAAAAACGGGTTGCGACAAAACTGGAGTTAATAGACAAGAAAACAAATTGGTGCGTGAGAGCTGTTAGCAATTTTGGAGGCTATTGTAACGCGACGCAGAGCGTGCAACATTTTCTGCTTTTACTCCGACAGATGGCAGCATCAGTCAAGTGAGTTGGTCGTTCATGATTTTTGTGATTTTTGTTTCTCCTTTCGATAAAGTGGATCTCTTCACTCGCATATTCGGACAAGCAACTACCTCCAGATTCATCTGGTCTTAGCACCGGACAAGGTGCTTTAACAACATGTATAACGATGACGCACTCTGTGAAGTGCAGTACATTGTTAGTACTGAAGTTATTCGAAAGAAAACGCGCGAGATTAAACAAAAATTGATGTTTCTTATTTTGTTTGTATCGCACGAAGGTGGACTATTGTTTATAAAAATTGAAACTGATTCTCCCTTTTTTCCTCCTTTATTTTATAAAACCCCACCGTGAGTCCGTAATGGGAACGCTACACCACATACTTGAAATAGCTTTCAGATATTTGAGCAATTTTGATACAGGGAAACGTCGCGAGAACAGCACCACTGTAACCACACGTCTCTTCTAGTGGCATATCGTTCTTTTAGAATATGGCGTGATCCTCCCTGGCCAGTTGAACCTCGTTCTAATGAACACTAATATAACAATTCATCGGTTATAGTGAACTAAACTCACACTTTGGTTGGTCACGCTTCATTTTAATGACATTCATCCTTTTTCTTTAAACAAAACTAAGAACGCGATATCGACCGTAATAAAGGATATTTGGTTCGCGCAAGGCGGAAAATTCGGAAAGTATCATAAAGAAAAAAAAATAACTTTTAAAAGAATTCACAGCCACATCCTTTTAAATATTGGCACTTGCTGCACGCAGGCCTGCTCAGTCAAACGGGCCCTGCATGTCATGCTGCAGCTTATCCTCCTCGTCGTACTGTCTATTTTTTCTTAAATACCACTATAAGAAGGGTAAGGATTGCCTCGTTTCTAAGGAATTTAAACTTTGAACCTCTCAGTAATGCGTGCTTGCATCTAGTATTCTTGCGCGAACCGGATGATCGATTGGTAAGAGGAGATTTTTATATCTACAGTTACAACTAATGCTGGTGGTCTAGTGGCTAAGGTACTCGGCTGCTGACCAGCAGGTCGCGGGCTCGAATCACGGCTTCAGCGGCTGCATTTTCGATGGAGGTGAAAATGCTGTAGGCCCGTGTGCTCGGATTTGGGTGCACGTTAAAGAACCCCAGATGGTGGTTTTGGGACGTTAAACCCCACATATCTATCAATATATATATATATATATATATATATATATATATATATATATATATATATATATATATATATATATATATATATATATTGATAGATATGGGAAAGAAGTGTATACCTAAGGGCTCGTTTTTCCGTGTTTTAACACAATATTAATGCGATCTAACAGACAGTACTGCCAAGGAATGTACAGGGGAAGTTATTAGAACCAATGGAATGTAAATAAGAAGAAAAGTGGATGAACAAATAACTAGCCATGAGCAGGAATCGAACCTACGACCTTCGAATAACGCGTTTGATGCTCTAACCACTGAGCTACCACAGCGGCCTTCCCTCCATCCACATTTTTGGGTTTATATGTGAATTTAGAAGTAGGAGTGACAGTCAGCGCCATCTATAAGCCAAACGACGAGTGTGAAAACACTCTTATGCGCATGTTTGGCGTCACGTAGCACGTGAACTTATTATGAGCAGGCAGCTGATTAATTGTCCCTCTTATACAACGTGCTACGTGACGCCAAACATGCGCATAAGAGTGTTTTCACACTCGTCGTTTGGCTTATAGATGGCGCTGACTGTCACTCCTACTTCTAAATTCACATATAAACCCAAAAAAGTGGATGGAGGGAAGGCTGCTGTGGTAGCTCAGTGGTTAGAGCATCGAACGCGTTATTCGAAGGTCGTGCTGCTGTGGTAGCTCAGTGGTTAGAGCATCAAACGCGTTATTCGAAGGTCGTAGGTTCGATTCCTGCTCACGGCTGGTTATTTTTTCATCCACTTTTCTTTCTTCTTATTTACATTCCATTGGTTCTAATAACTTCCCCTGTACATTCCTTGGCATTCATCATCATCATCATCATCATCAGCCTGACTGCGTCCACTGCAGGACAAAGGCCTCTCCCATGTTCCGCCAGTTAACCCGGTCCTGTGCTTGCTGCTGCCAATTTATACCCGCAAACTTCTTAATCTCATCTGCCCACCTAATCTTCTGTCTCCCCCTAACCCGCTTCCCTTCTCTGGGAATCCAGTCAGTTACCCTTAATGACCAGCGGTTATCCTGTCTACGCGCTACATGCCCTGCCCATGTCCATTTCTTCTTCTTGATTTCAGCTATGATATCCTTAACCCCCGTTTGTTCCCTAATCCATTCTGCTCTCTTCTTGTCTCTTAAGGTTACACCTACCATTTTTCTTTCCATTGCTCGCTGCGTCGTCCTCAATTTAAGCTGAACCCTCTTTGTAAGTCTCCAGGTTTCTGCTCCGTAGCTAAGTACCGGCAAGATACAGCTGTTATATACCTTCCTCTTGAGGGATAGTGGCAATCTACCTGTCATAATTTGAGAGTGATTTCCGAATGTGCTCCACCCCATTCTTATTCTTCTAGTTACTTCAATCTCGTGGTTCGGCTCTGCGGTTATTACCTGCCCTAAGTAGACATAGTGTTTTACAACTTCAAGTGCACTATTACCTATCTCGAAGCGCTGCTCCTTGCCGAGGTTGTTGTACATTACTTTCGTTTTCTGCAGATTAATTTTAAGACCCACCTTTCTGCTCTCCTTGTCTAACTCCGTAATCATGAGTTGCAATTCGTCCCCTGAGTTACTCAGCAATGCAATGTCATCGGCGAAGCGCAGGTTACTAAGGTATTCTCCATTGACTCTTATCCCTAACTGTTCCCATTCTAGGCTTCTGAAGACCTCCTGTAAGCACGCGGTAAATAGCATTGGGGAAATTGTGTCCCCCTGCCTTACACCCTTCTTGATTGGTATTCTGTTGCTTTCTTTATGAAGCACTATGGTAGCAGTTGATCCCCTGTATATTTCTTCCAGAATGTTTATATATACTTCATCTACGCCCTGATTCCGCAGTGTTTGCATGACGGCTGATATTTCTACTGAATCAAACGCCTTCTCGTAATCTATGAAGGCTATGTATAGTGGTTGGTTATACTCTGAGCATTTCTCTATTACCTGATTGATAGTATGAATGTGGTCAATCGTTGAGTAGCCTGTTCGAAATCCTGCTTGTTCCTTTGGTTGATTGAATTCTAATGTTTTCTTTACTCTGTTAGCAATTACCTTTGTAAATAGCTTGTATACTACAGAGAGCAAGCTGATCGGCCTGTAATTCTTCAAGTCCTTGTCATCTCCTTTCTTACGTATTAAGATGATGTTGGCGTTCTTCCAAGACTATGGTACTCTTCCCGTCAGGAGACACCTCGTAAACAGGGTGGCTAGTTTTTCTAACACAATCTGTCCTCCATCTTTCAGCAGATCTGATGTTACCTGGTCCTCACTTGCAGCTTTGCCTCTTTGCATGCTCTCCAAAGCTTTTCTCACTTCTTCTATCATTACTGGTGAGGTGTAATCTGGGATACTGCTAGTTCTTATAGTATTAAGGTCGTGGTTGTCTCGGCTACTGTACAGATCTCTGTAAAACTCCTCCGCTATTTTAACTATCCTATCCATATTGGTAGTTATTTTGCCTTCTTTGTCCCTTAGTGCATACATCCGACTTTTGCCTATCCCAAGTTTCCTCTTCAATGCTTTGACACTTCCTCCGTTTTTCAGAGCGTGTTCAATTCTCTCCATGTTATACCTTCTTACATCGCATACCTTACGTCTATTAATCAACTTCGAAAGCTCTGCCAGTTCTATTTTGTCTGTTGTACTTGACACTTTCATGATTTGACGCTTCTTAATTAGGTTACTGGCATTACTGTCTGTTAGATCACACACACATATATATATATATATATATATATAAGGGGAAGAAGTGTATACACCTAAGGGCTCGTTTTTTTTTTTTTCGTGTTTTGACACAATAATAATGAGTTGTTGTTGTTGTGAGAAGATTCACGCTGATTGCGTAAAAAGAGCGAACTGCAAAGTTTCACAAAGTGTTTGGTACTTGCGGCCGCTGCATAAAGCCAGTGAAACGATTCAGTTGAACAAGGTGCATCGTGCAGCCCTTTCAGTCGAGAATTCGTGCAGCCGTGAAGCGCACGAATACAGAAAACACAGCCACGACGATGTTAGTAAACGCAAAAGGTATGAGCTGGAGGCCTGTGTAT